AGATTCCTCTGCTCTGAGCACTGTGTTTACCCATGTTATAATTAAACTGAACTTTTGCTGCATCTAATGAATTATATATATATATATATATATATGTATTTTATTTTATTTTTTAAGCCAAATTCCTGTTGGAAAATGAAAGCAGAGCCTCTCAGGAAAAAGGAAAGCAGGGCCCCTTGGTGTCCTGCTGCCACAGGACCTGGAGGTGTTTGTTGGGAGTGAGAATGCATTGCTATAAGCACAGGGCTTGCGGCATGGGGCTGAGGCTGCTGCTGGCAGTCGGATCCTTATGGGCAACCTGTAGGTGCTGCCTTCTACTGATTTGAACACATGTGCTGGCTGCACAGTAAGATTAAACCCGAAGTTTGCTTTGGTGCTGCTTAGGGTAGTGTGGGCAATGCATCCCACGTCGTGCTGAGTGCCAGAGGGTTGGCACGTGCGTGGTGTCATGAGCTGGAGTTGTAACGTCAGCAGTCTCAGGTGGTGCTGGAGCACTATTGATGCCATCTTAGCTTCTGTGAAGTCCTTTAAAGCGTTTCTTTCACACTTAGGGAGAATTTTAGCAACCGTCGCTCTGTCCTTCTGCCCCTGGAGTTGTTCATCACCCTGACCTCGTGCAGAGCAGTGTTTGCACGGCCCCATACAGCCTCACCAACACACTGCTGTGCCGAGCGTAGGAAATGCAGGTCCTGTTTGCTGTCCTTCCCTGTCTGAGCAGTCCAGAGGAGAACTGTGTGTTCTGAATGACACGCTCATGACTGCTGGCAGTTAACTCATTGCAGGCCGTGCTGAAGGTTTTTTAATCTCAGTACAATTTCTAACTGAATGTTTTCTGTCCTCTCTGATGGTCTCCCTGGCAGGGCCACGAGCTGCACATGCTCCTGGCTGGGGTTTGGCAGGGCAGAACTTTGCCAGTCAGCGCCGTTTTGCTCTCGCTGCCATTCAGTCTCATCCCACAGGGGTTGTTGTCAAACCCTCTGCTTTCTATTTCCTAACTCTTCTGCTCTTTGAGGTCATGCAGCTTTGGTCCTTGGAAGCTAGAATTTGCAGTGGTCTTTGTTGTACCTCCTTCTCTTTTCCTTCCTTCCTTCCCCAGAACAGCTCCTGCCTGGGAGCCTGCAGCTGCTTCAAGTCAGAGTGAACCAAGGCTCATCTTCTGCAGGATCCTCCTCCTGCCTTCTTTCTTCTCCTGCTTTCTAGACAGCTCCTGTGCAGCACGATATGGTCAGTGTAATAGAAATGTCTTTCAAGAGAGGTGAGCTCTGCATGCAGAGCATGTTCTTCTAAGAGTTGTTTGGTGCCGCCAGTAGTTTTGATGCTGAAATTCTTTTTAAAACATCTCAGTTTCAGATGTTTAGGATCTTTGAAATCCTGAACCTTTGTCACCCAATTCTATGCTGCGTTTGGACAACTGGCTTGCTATTCTGGATGCCTCATTTGGGTTTGAGCAAACAGCTTGTGTTGATTGCCGTGCTGCTGTTGTAGCTGAAGAGAATTTGGGTGTGCAGTCAGAGTTCAAAATAAAAATTAAGGACTGAAAACAACAGGGACGTGTTCCATGTATAACACCTCAGCCTAGCTAACGAGGAGACCTCTGGGCAATTGTGGATCTGCAAGATGTTTTTTTTTTCTATTGCCTTTCTTCTGCTGAAAGAGCTGACTGTCCCTATCAGAGGACAGGCTTTATAAAATTGCAAGTAATGCTTTCTGTATCTTTATTTGCAAATTCAGCAGGAGTGTGTGGAAATGGCTTAAGTGAGAACAGTTGCACAAGCTGGGTGAGGAGAGTGCTGGGAATGCGAGATGGAGAAGGAGCCAAGAAAGAGCTGCAGGTCTGTGCTGGTCAGGGCCTGGAAGCCAGGCTGCTGCTGCTGTGCTGCTCGCCAGCTCTGCTTTGCTCACGTGGAAGCACTTCCATGCTGCACAGAGTCCGTGTGCTGGGGAGCTCATTCATCACATAGCAGCACAGCCCGCTGCAGAGGCTTCACATCCAGCACTTGTGCATTCATGTCTGTTAGGTATAAGCAGTTACCAAAGGGAAGGGTGGGTGTCTGCTGCTTTTTCTCCTTTGTGCTTGTGTTTATTCCCAGAGTTCTTGTTGTAGGGGATTAAACCTGTGTCTGGCATAGGGACTACGTTGGAGATAGGGGCTGTGGGATCACACCAGCACCTTTCCCAGGTTTGATTTTTCACTGGGCAAACATTGCAGCTGTCAGAGACAGCAGTTGACACACTGTGAACTCGGTTTAACTTGCTGTTGGCAAGAGCTGTGCTGGATCGGGTGTCATCCTCACAGCCACCCTGAGCTGGGCAGTGCTGGGAGCTGAGTAGAAATACAGAAGTTGCGCTGCCATGGCTCACCCACATGGAACGTGTGCTCCCAAATCTTTGTGCCTCTGCATATTGAAGGCACTGACCTGTGACATGGTCTGCCTTGAGCCAGAGTGGATTGCAGTGCTGAGAGGTCCCGGCCACCCTGCCCACGCTGTGCTTTGGAGTTGCCCAACATGGCTCGTCTGCATGGTGCATGGAGAAATGAAGTCCTCTGAGCGTGGTAAGGAGCCCCTGAGCTGCGTGCTGGTGTGTGTGGGAGCAGCAGGCAGTGACTGTGGGAAAGGTGTGCTGATTGCTGATGTAAGAAATCATTGGGCTGAGCAAAAGCTGCTGGGGCTTAATGATGTAGTGCGCTTTCCTATCTCCCAATTTCAGGGGACAGCAGCTGCCCAGCTTCCCATCAAGTGAGATACTCAGCTGAGAGTGGGAACGTGATGATGTTGGTCCTTGTTCCCTAAGCAGAAACCCAGATGCTCTGTAGCACCCTCATGCAGTACAGAGTATGGCCAGAGCTGGTGGAGCAGTCCAGGTGTTCCTGCTCTGGTGATGTGCCCCTGAGCGTGGGCACTGCTTCAGTGCTGAGTACTGGAAAGCAGCCCTGAGTACAGGGCAGCAGTTGAGTGCCACAACCATTGTGCCTCTTGGAGCTGCTTGTCTGTAGTGGTGCTTAACCCATGGACCTGGTGTGTGTGTGCTGGCTGTGCCTTTCTGCCTGGGTGAAACGTGTTGTTATGAGCATCGTTGGCTTTTTGAATGTAGGTAAGGTGGATTAAAAAGGATGAGAGGGCAACACAAGTAGAACATGCCTGGAATGTGAGGTGTTGGAGGTTGCTGAGCTCAGCTCGGTGTGCTGGTGAGTGCATCTCTGGGGAGCTGAGAGTTCTTGTTTCTGGGGCTGTTGGCAAAGCACTTGGCTGGAGCAGAAAACTTGAGCCATGTTAGTACTGACTTTCATGGAGGGAAATATAGCAGCTGGGCTGCAAGTCCCTATTTTAAAAGAGTATCCAGTGCTGAGCTCCCTGGCTGCTGAGCGAGAGGCCGACCTCCCATGGATGATGATCACACCACAGGGATTACATAGGAGAGGAAGAGTGACTGCACTGTTGTGTGTTCAGGAACAGCCACTCTAGCATGCTCTTGTTGGGTTTTGTGCTTGTAATGGTCTTTGCATGATACCAGACCTGCAAAGTATTTATTTCTGGGCTGGTGTTCTGCCTACTCCTTGGCTTGCTTATCCTAGCAACTGAGGCAGGTGGGTCTGGTGCACATAGCTGAAAATAGTCATGCTGCCTTTGCAAACAGAGCCATCAGAGAGCAGGTTAAGTGCAGTCCCCTGCAGAGAAAGCTTGATGCTTTGCTTTTGGAAGAAACTGCGTGGTTATATCCTTCAGGTGTGGATGACTGGGAAGGGAATGCTTGAACAGCTTCCTTGATTTACCTGGGATGCCTAATGTACAAATATTGCCTGTGCCAGGCAGCGTCAGCGTGGGTAATTCAAGTGTTGTTCAATACAGAACAAAGCAGAACGGCTCAGTGGTGGGTGATGAGTTGGTTTAATCTGGCATTGCCCTAATGCGTGTTGAAATGAAGCTGTCATTACACACTGAGCTTTGCATTAAGAGAACTCTTCAGTTAAAACCCCCAAACTGCTGCTCACAGGTGTGCAGTTACTGGAACGCGACTATTGCTGTGACTGTGGTTCTGGATGTTAAGGGCTCTCTGTACAGTACTTCAACAAATAATTTTAGAAAGCATTATAAAAATGGATGTCTGTCTATGCTCTGGTGGGCTGTGGGAGGGTATGAGCGCTTCCCCAGGCTGGAAGTGGGCTGTAGGAGGCTTCAGATTTCCCTCCCTGCTGCAGCTGAGACTCAGGAGCTGCCCTAAAAGCCTCACTGGCTGCCTTGCTTCCTGCCTTACCGAAACGTGCCATCAAGAAGGCAATAAATACTCAGGTGCTTTGCTTTGATTCCGGATCCTGCCCTCAGATCATGGATTTATGTCTTAATTTTACAGATCAGGCTGTAAGCCAGGGTGTGGGCTAGGATGAGATGCTGACAAAGCACCATGGGTTTGGGGCCGGGTTCAACCAGCGAAGTGATGCCTGTAGCAGGAGCAGAGGGGTGAATGCTAGAAGTGAGATGTGAGGGAGGCTCTGTCCCTGATACACAGCTCATGTGGTGCTTCCCGAAGTGCATGGTATGTGGTTAATGTGTTTGCAGAGCTCACACTGATGCAAATATGCTCCTGAGCACTGAAATGCAGATGAGAAGTGGCCCTGTTCTGCAGGGGGAAATCTTAACCAAGCAGCCTTGTGTCCTCCCCATTAGTATGCTGAGAGCATTATCCCTCATACAGCATTTTTGTCATGCATTAGATGGGAATTGGGTTTTGCTGTTTTAAGCCTATTAATAACACTTAATGAAGCAGCCTGCAAGTAGACTTCAGATGAGTGAAGCAGCTTGCTGAAGGGTCACTGCTGGAAGGACACGGGCAGTTTAACTGGCCAGGAATTGTTGGGTCCATCCAGTGATATCTCCTCTACCAGCAATGTGTGGGAGTGCTGGAAGCCTCTTCAGTGCAGAGGGATGAGATGCTGTGCATTTGTTTGCTATGTTAAGTGCCAACACTCAGTCCAGTCTCTCTCTTTTTTTCTTCCCCTTTAGCTGAAGCTTGAAGATCGCTCTGTGGTCCCTCGAGATGTGGTCAGACATATGAGCTCCAGTGTAAGTGCTCTTTTCCGTGTCCCTTTTTGTTCATAACACTGCTGCATGGATTTCTCAGACTTGCCAAATTGCCTGAATGGAACTGAACAGCACTGATTTGAGTGTGTTCTATTTTTAGTGTGTCTAATAGAACTAGCAGCATCCCTTGAAAATGAGATGCTGATAAGGCTGCCTCACTGCTGTTGTGTATCTGCAAAGGTCTCCTGAGCACAGGCAGCCTGGCAGTGTCAGCTCATGAGACAAACCTGCCATCCGGGTGTCCTTTCACTTTCAAGTCAAGCTGCTCTGAGATGAGGGGAGTGCAGACCTGCAGCAAACCCCAGCATTGCTGAAGCAAGACACACACCGAAGCATCTGACACAGCTAGGTTGGCAGAAAACAAGCTGGCTTTAATGGTCAGCTTGTAATTGTTACCTTTCTGCTTTACTATTTAAGTCCTAGTCATTCTATGCTAGCTTTACAGTATTTGTGCACATCTGAGGACGTGTAGATTTGTCTTCTTGTAGGACATACTGGGAGCACTGTCCCAGTATTGATCATCTGATGAGATGGGATCCCTCAGGAGCTTAGCTGGGCTGACAGCTTGGTGCTGCTGCTCACAGCTAACCTATAGCCCTGAGCCATATGGGCTGCCAGGTGGGTGCTTGCATCTTCTCTTGACTTGCTCCCAGCAGTGGGGCTGCCCATGTGGTGCTGAAACAGGCACTGGTTGCTGTGGTGGCACCACATGGTGAGCTGCATGCAGGGAAAAGGCCATCCTCTGATCTGGCTGAGTGTTTGAAATAAAGCCTCTTTTATCCATTAAGGAAAAAAAGTCAACCCAGTCCTTTTGCACAGAATGTTCCAAAGACAAGAAAAAGGAAGAAAAAAAAACAAAAAACTTGAAGGGTAACTTGAAAAATGCTGAAATAAAGCATTTCCTTAAGAAATCAAGTTCTTGTTTGAAGTGGAAATTTGGATTCAACATCTCTTAGTAAAACTGCAGCCCTATTTCAATCCAAAACAAGGAACTGCTGGCAAATGGAAATATCAGCAGCTCACAGTGCTGTACCTGGCACAGCTGGACACTGCTCTGTATCTTCTTGCTCAAAGCAGGATGTTTTCTGTGTCCTTTCTCTCAATTGCCTGTTTCTAATGCTTTTTACCATCCTGAAAGCTTAAAGTCACTTTGAGCTCTTCTCTTCTTGGCAAATGTGGATACGCTGCTTTTGTTTGCAATTTCCATACTCATTGGAGCACAAATGGGCTTCTCCAGCTTGCTGCACATATGTTGGTAGGTACACTGGTGTGTCCCAGCAGGCGTTCTGCATGCTCTTATTTTCAATTTGCATGTTTGGACGTTGGCTTTTACTTGACCATTTGTGCTAGTGGCTGATAGTGTCATTTTTTCGATAGGATGGTGGGTAAATAACTCGTATTCCTCCCCTCAAAAACGTGCTGTATCTGAAGAAGACCTGAGCTTCGCCTTCATCTCAAGTATATTTTAAATATCAGTGGTAAATAAAGCAATGAACCCCTTCTGTCCCAAAGAAAAACATTAGATGTAGTGCAGAAAATCACTACCACGTTTACAATAGGAGAGCTGTGGCTGTCAGCCTGCCCCACTCCACTCGGCCTGGCAAGTGCACAATGAGGAACTTGCTCTGTATGCACTGCACTCCCAGGGCTTGTTTGTAACCTTGGGTGGGAAGGACTCGAAATCCTCTGTTCCTCAAGAGAGGAGCTGACTCAAATTCAGTGCTTCTCGTCTAGCACTGAGCGCGAGGAAGGAATGCCTAATGCATGAAATGAGGTCATTTTCTCTGAATGCGGTTGGGCCCCCGTGAGTCTAATCCAGATGGATGCAGAATGGTGGCAGACTCCGTTTTTCCAGGTGGTGCTTGGGGGAAAAGATCAGAAATAGGGCTGCAATCTGTCAGGCACCCAGATTTGTTGCTCTGGAGGGTGCTGGGTGCCGCTGCCCCTTTAAATTGAGCAGTGGTAGGTGGAGATCTCCTTGTTAGAAGGGAGTATGGAGGGAATGAGTCGGATGGGAGGTACGTGGTGTGGGGGCCTTGGAGCTTGCTGAGCTGCTGTGCTCTCAGATAGGAAACTGATGGGTCAGAGGATGAAACTCTTTACTTTGGGACCGCATTGCTGAGTGCTGCTGCAGCCTCGCTGTGATTCAGCAGAACTTCCCTGCCCGCAGCACTGCCTCTGTGGTGCAGGGCAATGCTTCATGTGACAGCGAGGTAAATAAACCCAGAGCAGCAGTTCAGCAGCAGATGAGAGAGGAGAGCCAGCATCCTGTGCTCCTGTCACTTCTCAGGCCGCTCGCAGCATTGATCTCTGCTTTCTAAGCCCTTGCATGTAAGTCTGTGTTCTCACTCGAGAACTTAGCAACTGGAAGGGGACACGAGCTGAACTCAACCCTCTGCTCCTTCCCATGATCAGGTGGCACCCAGCAGTCTCAGATGGGCTCTGGGGTGTGACAGCACTGGTTGCGTTGTTTGGTGCTGATGGCAGGAGGGTCTCTGCCATGGGAAGCCTGATGCTTTGTTTCAGCTGATTCAGGTGGGGTGAAAGACTTGAATCCCAGAACAGCAGCAACGTGAGGGTTTTCTGTTTCTCTGGCTGCTGGCTAAGCAGTCTATAGCACAGACTTAACAAACCCTAAACAGCAAAATGTGAGCAGAGGATGGATGGGCTGCACTTAAGTAGCAGAAGCTGGAGTCAGGGTGAGGGTTCTACTTTGGCAGGTGCCACTTGTGAGCAGGCCTCGCTCATCCCGTGGCCAGAACCTTTCTGGCAGGAGCTGCCTGCCCCAGGTGTGGTTCTGGCACAGCCTGTTTGTGTCTCTGCAGAGGTGTCAGTGGGCAGCAGGGCTCTGCAGGGCTCCTCCTGGCACCATGCAGGCTGCTGGCTGTGCCAGGTTTAGTGCAGCCGTGGGCTGTAGCTGAGAGAGTTGGGAAGCAAAGGAAACCTCTCTTGAAGTGGCAGTAATCTGTAGATCATTTGGAAGGGATGAAGCCCTGCTGCCCTGAGCTGTGCCAGCCTGGCTCCCCCAGCCCTGCTGATACACTGGCACAGCTCTGCGAGGACGTGGCACGAGGACGTTGCTGTCTTCATTGCCTTGGGAGCTGTACCTGCAGGACGCAGGCTGCTGTAATTCCAGGAAGAGGAAATGCAGCCAACCTGTGCTGAACAGTCTGCCCAGGTGCCATTCTGGGCTGTGGGACTTCTTGGCTCCCAACAGGATGTTTGATGAGCTGAGCACCAGCAAACTCGTGGCCTTCCAGAGGGGCCACCCAGGGCTCTGGGTGAAAGCCTTGAATAAATATTTGATGTAGCCAATAGAACAACATGCTTATAAGTGGACCGAGCAAACAAATCCACCTCTCACCAAGTGTAAGCACTCCCAGCATTGTGCTCAAGTCCTGCTGGAGCAGTGACCTTCATGTTTGAGATAAGGACAGCCTTGAAGTTGCTGATAGCAGGGCATTTGTCACAGTGTCCCTCAGTCCACTTTTATGGTGGACTGTGGGCTTTAATAAATAAAAGTATGGATTGTCCCAGCTGTCAAGGGCCAGGGCAGCTGCTGTGACTGACAGTGTTTGGGTTAGCAGCCTGTCCTCGCAGGCTTCTGCCATATGTGTAAGCAGTGTACGTATTGCCAAACTATCCCCAGAAGGCTCCTGACAGCATGTGGTACTTTCTTTGGGGCAAAAAGGATTAAAACTTTGCTAAAAAGTGACAGAGGCAATGACAACCACCGCGTAATTGAATCAACTGTAAGTTATCTGATGTGAAACCTTGACATCTGAAAAGTGCCAGATCTTTTTAGTATGGCAGCAGGTGAAGCCCATTTATAACTCGATGATCTCTGGAGGTCCCTTCCAACCCCTACAATTCTGTGATAACTTGCTGCACAATCAGGCTTTACATGAGAAGTCACAGATTGCTGTGCACAGAGCACATGCATTTGTGTGCAAGGCCTCCTCTAGGTTCTAAACCTTTCTCTTTGTGTTTCCAGGACAGCCAGTGTGGGACTGTAATTGATGTCAACATAGAGTGTGCGGTGAAGCTGGTAGGAACCAACTGCATCCTATACCCTGTCAACAGCAAAGACCTGCAACATATCTGGGTGAGAACGCAGCCAAAACAAAGTGGAGCCAGGGTTTTGGTGGTGGGAAGAATGCTGCTGTGTTCCAAGTAACTTGTGCTAAGGAGGCATCTGTGCAAGATGCATCTGCAACTTGGTTTTATTTTAAAGCATCCTCCCTGGGAGAAGGTGGAGCATCTCCTCTTCTGCCCATCTGTTCTGTGTTTCTGAGCACGTTGCTGGGATCGGGCTGACTTGGAAGGTGGGGTTGTCTCTAAATTGTGAGAGCTTCTGTATTGAGATTGTCAGGTGACAGCACAACCAGAGCCCCTCAACACTGGCTCAGCAGTATTGTTAGTGCTGAAGCAGTGAGAACACTAAGGGGAGTCGGGCAGCTTTCTGTTGAACTGAAACATTCCTGGTTCTCCCATTTGTGCGAGTGGGGGATTTTTGGATGCTGAGTGGTTTAAGGTTTTATCGACTACGGAAATTCAGGGCTGTTTAAATGGAGAATCTGTACTGTGCTCTGACTCTTCAGTGTGCCTTAATTCAAGCTTACAGCAAGGTCTGCAGCTGCTGCCTGAAATCCCCCCCGAGGTCGCTTTCCGGTCTGTGTTATGTGAGGATTTACTCACTGGTTCAAAATACAAGGGCTGATGTTTATAAAGCTGGTTTCCCGTTTTCTTCACAGCCCTTCATGTATGGTGACTACATAGCCTATGACTGCTGGCTGGGCAAGGTATATGATCTGAAGAACCAAGTCATCCTTAAGCTTTCCAACGGAGCCAGGTACTTCCTTCTATTGAATGCCCCTTAGCTTTCATGATCCTGATCTGTTTTAGGAGAGCTAGGCAGGCTGAGCTTCTCATTCATGTGCTCCTGTTAAGTCATCTGCTTGCTTTATCCTTGGATATAGAGTACAAACACATCTTTATCTGAAAACGTCACTGATTACCCTCTGGAAACGTGTTATCTGAAGGATGTTATTTTTGTCAGTCCCAGCAGATCAGCCCTCCAGAACTGAAATATGTTGGTTTTTAAAACTGCGCTTCTGCTGTGGAAAAAATGGTTGTTTTGACATATCATGAATTCCAGACTGCTCAGTAGGAGAGTGTGCTGCCTCTGACAGGCGGGGAGGGAGGATTCTTACCTTAAAGCATCTGCAGGAATGTGGAAGCTCGCAGGCTGGTGCTTCCTATTAATGATGAAAAAGCAGCCCAAGATTGAACTTCAGTCGTTATGGTCAGCTCTGCTTTATCTGCACCGTTATTTACAGCAGCGTTGGGAATGTTTTTAATGAGGATGTAATCTAAAGCCATACCTCCTGAGAGAGATTTAATCAGAAGCATTGCAAGAGTTTTCTTGTTACCTTAACGTGTGGTTCTGCAGAGCCAGTAAATGATTTGAATTCTGATCCTTGTGCATGTCAGACAGGAACGTGTGAATTGCAGCCCTTTGAACTCTGTGCTGTTACTGAGGCCTGTCTGGTCTTAGTGGTGCAGAGGAAAGGAGGAGCCAGTGGAGGGCTGGGAGGCACACAGGCATGGCAGCTGGGATCCAACCCATCTGTCGTGTAAATTGCATGGTAATGATTTAAAACAGAGGGAAAAAACAGCTCTGCCTTCTGCTTTTCCTAAGAGAAGTGAGCGTTGCAAAACTGGCGGATGCTTCTCTGATTTTCTTGACTGTTTTTTGTTTTGCTTTTGGTTAACCCAGAATGGAAGGCTCTTACACATCTGTCAGACTGGCAGTGAAAAATAGCTGCACTTCTCTATCTGCACCGCCTGCAGTTATTGGTGGAACTTAAAACCTTGCTTGGTTTCTGTTAGCAACTCGTGCATAGCTGTGTCAAATGAGGTAACTGTTTTTGAAATCTTTATAGTGAATCATTTGAAATCCCACCAGAACTTGGTCTGGACATAAAGCTATTACTGAAGCAAGCATACCCAAACTGCCTTGAGTTTCCTTGGTGTGGATAACCAATGACACCTCTGCAGCAGAAAAATCTTGACCAGTACCTCGCATATCACTTGATTTTCTTATTTTTTACTCACTGAATGGAGCCTTTGAATACCAGGCAGTGTTTTTTACACCTTACCTGTAGCCAGTTCTGCTCTGGACCATAAGGGCTCAGCAGTATGCATATGGGCAGACCCACTCGGGCAGCAGCAGTTAAGCTGGTGCTGTTTGGCTCTGGCAATGTGACCGTGTCTCCTGTCTGCTCTCCAGGTGTTCTATGAGCACAGAAGATGGAGCCAAGCTGTATGACGTCTGTCCTCACGTCAGTGACTCGGTGAGCTTGTGGTCCTCCTGGGAGCCTGTTTGATCAGCTTTAATTCATAAGCTTTTTGCATAGGAGGGAAAGGGAAAGGGCAAAACCACAATTACTTATAGATGCTAAAAGTTAAGTGATGAAAAACAGTTAGCTGGATCTTCTCTTAAGTAAGCTGTAACAATATGTAGCTTAAAGGTGTCCCTATAGCAGAAGGGGTTGAGATTAGATGATCTTAAAGATCCCTTCCAACCCAACCCGTTTTAGGATTACTAACAAGCAGGTTTTCAGCAGATGTTACATTTAGTATATCCCACTGTGTTTTGCAAACAAGTCATGCAATATGCAGTCACATGGCTCACGTCAAGGTGCTTCACTGTCTGCTCAGTACATCTGTATGTGCTTGAAAAGGCTCTTGCTCCATTTAATACTTTCAGATGTAATGCCTTCTTCTGGAAAAGGGCATGTTGTGTAAATGATGTTCTGCTTGAAGCACGTTTCTAGATGGTGTAGAATACTCTCTTGCTGCTGTTGTCTGTTGCATTCTCTAAATGGAGAGCTGCCATCATGCTGGACTTTTCCCTGTCATGGTGGGGAAGGTTCTGCTGGCATTTAAGCTGTGTGCTGATGGGATCTCAGCTCCCTCACCTTGCAAAGCAGGCAGCAGCTGCTTCTCCTTCCAAATGGCATCAGCAGGGCCTCGCTGTGTTCCCAGCAGCTTTATTTGGAGTTGGCTGCAAGAATAGCATATAATTCATAAAAGCTAAAATGCTGTCAACCCTTATCCTTCCCAGCCTTCAAAGCAGAGATCTAAAAGTGCATTTCTGTTCCTCTGTTTCATGAGGAGTAAATGGGATATAATTGTAATAGGATGCGCTGCCGTGGTTTTCTTGTTCTGCACAGAAATGGTGTGGTCTGTTGCTAGACCTTCTCTGGTATTTTAGTCTCTGCTATTTTGGGTTGCACAGCATTATTGTGCTTGCTAAATCTGTGTTGAAGCAGCATCCACGTTTTGGGCATTGATTTGGAGATCTTTTTTGAGTCAGGCTGCCTTCAGAATACTTGGAGTCCCATAGAGGCCCACAGTCTTGTCTTAAACTTGAGTTATCTCCAGTGTTACCCTTGATCCTGTGCTCAGCACTGCTGTGTTAGGTACACACCTGATCTCGATCTCACTGCACTGCTCTTATCCTTTCTGACAAGCTACAAGACTTGCTGCATTTTTGTGCTCTGTATTCCATCTACTCTAAACTGTTCTGTCCGCCCTCACATCCTGAATCTTGGCTCATCAAATCACTCTAAATATCAGTGGAAAAGAGTTCTAGGAAATAATTGTTTTCTCGGTAGCCCTGTTCTGTTTTCATAGGATTGTTGTGTTGACTAATCCACCCAGGGCAGGAAGAATGCTCACAAAGTGAGTGTGACAGCTGGAGGAGTGAAGGCTGGAATCCCCTGGCTGGCTGATAGCTGCAGGAGCTTGAACTGGAGCATGGAAAAGAGATCAGGTGTCCCTGCCCAGGGCTGTGGCCTCTGTGGCCGCCTTGTTACTGAGAACATAGGTGTGAAATCCATATCTTTTGTTTCTTGCAAATACCTTTGCTTCTCCCCTACTGAGTCATAATCCTGTATGAATGTGTGATAGAGCAGGTTGCTATAGAAACTGCTGGGTTAGCTTCAGAAACGAGCTTTAAGAGATGGGCAACTTGCTAGTGAGACTTTTTCCTTTATATTAGCCTTGCTGATCACGAACGAGGGAAGGGAAAGACTGCAGTCTTAAGACTTCTGTCCTTTATGCTGTTTTTTCCTCCCTTTCCCTCGCAGGGTCTCTTCTTTGATGATTCATACGGCTTTTATCCTGGGCAAGTCCTCATCGGGCCTTCTAAAGTCTTCTCCAGTGTACAATGGCTCTCGGGTGTGAAGCCAGTTCTGAGCACAAAAAGCAAGTTCCGAGTGGTGGTGGAAGAGGTAAGAGCTGCCAGGCTGACACAGGGCTGCTTTCTGCACGGAGCAGCTTGGAGCAAAGTCAGCTGGCCATGGTAACCTCCCAAGAGTGGTTCTGCTCTGAAGTGACAAATTCCTCACCGTGGGCTCACAGGACTTTTGAGCGTGGTTTGGCTTTTCCTCCCAAGGGTCCCTGCTGGCGCCCTGTAAGGTGACCGTGTGCCAGTGCACTCAGAGGCTGCTGGGGCTGATCATTAGGGTAGTGGAAGCACCTCTTCCATTGAAAGTTAATGTCGTGTGCTATCCACAAAGGGAGAAATGTTGCTGACTCCTTGCTGAAAGAGGGAGCAGCTCCAAGTCCATTAGTGTGTCTTTGTGACGTTGGACTGCTGAGTTGTATGAACTACAGCTTCCTTCCATAGCCAGATGCCATCTTCCTTGATGCTAAAAGCTGTAGGAGCGCTCAGTGTTGTCCACAGCCAAGCTACAGAGGAGCTGAAGTGGTTCTGATGTTGGGAAACTACACTTAAATGACAAAAGCAGATTTTGCTGCTTTCCTTTACTCGATTTTTTAGATCCTAGGCATGGATTTGGGAAAGCTGAAAAACCAAACCCCTTTCTCTTTACGTTGCAGGTGCAGGTGGTAGAACTAAAGGTTACTTGGATCACTAAAAGCTTCTGTCCCGGAGGTACTGACAGTGTGAGTCCTCCACCCTCAATAATCAGCCAGGAGAACCTGTCCAGGTGAGAGCAGTTGGAAACCTTCTGCACTGTCAGGGTGTGCACAAATGTGGGTGATGTGCCTGCAGCTGATTAGACACAGAGCTGTTTTTTTCCCCTTCTCCTTATATGCCTATATTCCAAAACTTCAAAAAAGTAAAGGAATAACTAAAATCCTGACGTCCCACCGTCCTCTCCTAACGCTTTCCAGTCAACGAGTGCCTACCCTTGTCCTTCAGTTGGTGCCTGAAATAGGCTTCACCTGTTAGCTGTGCGTGCAGTAGGGAAATAAAAGTGTCCTATGCTGGGCCCACGCTGATGCTGAGGGAGCATCTGGTGCCCTCTGCAGGCTGCAGCTGCAAAAACAAGCTGGACTAAATTCAGAAAGAGAAGTCAGATTGAGTAACAGCACAACAAAGCATAGTCCTGCCTGGAGCTCATGGGGAAACTGGAGGAGAGCAGCTCTCAGATGGCAGCAAAAAGCACTGCCAACTTGAAATGTGTCTTGGCAACTGCTTCTGGGAAGGAGGACTAGAGGGAGAGGAGTTACTGCTGTTCCACCCGACCCCTTTGTGTCCCTTTTGTGAGACTTTCCACTCCTCCTTTACAGCTGTGTGCCTGGGGAAGGCTTGGTGTGGCATTTGCTTCTGCCACTCCGGGAGAAGTGCTGTTGTCAAGAGGACACGCCAGCCTTGTGAAGGCTCTGGTTGCAGCGAGGTTCTGTTATTGCTTTTTTGCTTTGCTCATGGCTCTCCTTTCATCTTACCAGGGTAAAGCGTCTGGGGTGCTTTGACCATGCCCAGAGGCAGCTTGGAGAAAGGTGCCTCTATGTGTTCCCGGACAAAGTGGAACCTGCAAAAATCACCTGTGAATGCCCAGAGAGGAACTGTGTCCTGGGTGAAGGATCAGTTGCCAAAAAGGTGAACTTAGGGGGGTAAAGGGAGGGACGTGTGACTTCTCTGACCGTTTCTGATTGCTGTGGTTTTTAAAGCATCAATCTTCTTGTGGTCCAAAATGTGACTCCTGGAGTGATTGTAAAGAGTAATGGCTTCTTGGTGCCAGCAGCGAAGTCACCTTGTGCAGCAGTCTCACTGCACTGGGAGAAGCATGCAGCTAATCCACGAGAATGTGAACAGGACACTGAACACAGGGGTGTCAACTTGCAGGGGCGAAGCTGTGCTCTGACAGCCTGGACTCACTCTAACAAAAACATGCACCTATCCTCATGTTTATTTTGGAGCCAAAGCATCAATTTCAGTCCTTTCTGCAGTGATACTGAGGAATGTCTGCTTCCTAGGCCAAATGAGTCATGCTGTGACTTTACATGTTGGCTGTAGAGCAGTGGTGTTCCTAGAATAACAGGATATCAGCAGTGTGGATGGTGACCTCCCTGTGCAGCTGTGTCTGTTGCATAGATTAACTTGTGTAGCCTGTTGTGACCTTCTGAAACAAGAAAGTTCAGAGCTTGCTTAAAATAGCCTGAAAGAGCAAAGCTGACTTGCTGAGGGGTAGCCTGCAGCTGGTGTTTGCTCCTGAGTAGAGCAGTGGTAAGATGGCTGTGATGTCATCACTAGCATGACTTTTGCTAGTTTGTACGTTTCTCCATACCAGAGTATTCTGCAGAGACCCCTGGAGTGCTGTATTTCTCTCTGTGCAGAGTTCCCCATTCTTGGGTTGTCTGCCAGTTTGCTGTGTATAAGCACATTGTTTGACCCTCATCTGCTTTCTGCAGGTGAGGAGACTGCTGAAGAAGCAGATAGTGAAGATCATGTCGTGCTCCCCAGAATCTCAGGGTACCTCTGAAGCCCAGGACAAAGAGCCTGCTCCAGCTGCTGACCAAAAATCAGAAGACCTTAAGCCTGGCTCAAAGTGTGAACTGGAGGACTCTTCCAATGGTGCGCCAAGTGTAGGGGAGAGGAAGGAGGAGCAGCCTGAAGAAACAGGGAAGGACAAAGGGGGAGCAGCAGTGAGACAGCAACCTCCCTTTCTGCTGAAAGATGAGGGATCAGCTGATTACAGGCTGCAGTCCATGGAGCAGGATGCTGATGATGAGGCAGCTGATGACACAGATGATACGAGCTCTGTCACCTCCTCTGCCAGCTCCACGGCCTCATCCCAGAGTGGCAGCGGCACCAGCCGCAAGAAAAGCATCCCCCTTTCCATCAAAAACTTGAAGCGGAAGCACAAGAAGAAGAAGACCAAGATCTCAAGAGAATTTAAGCCAGGAGACAGGTGAGTTGGGTTTCCAAACGTAGGTAGAGTTGCTGAAATCCCTTTTGGGTGTAAACCACCTCCTCAGCATGGGTGGACAATGATGGTGTGCCTCACGTTGGGACAGTGCTCGTTAGTAACCAGCAGTGATTACCTTGCGATGACTGTGCAGTGGCCTGTGTGAAATCAACTTGATTTGAGTCCAGCTTCTGATGAAGCCGTGGCCACGTGATGTGACACTGATGCTGGTCCAGCTCAGCTGTGCTTCAGGGCATCGGCAGAATATCTGTGCTGCGCTCGGCTCTGCGCGCAGAGCAGGAGGTGAATGAAGATCACACAGCTTAGATGTGACACTAATTGGGTACCTGGGTGGTGGTTCTGCAGAGAGGCTGAGGACAAACCACAGCAGTGTGACTGGACAGCTCATCCTCACAGAGCTCACTGCTGGCAAGGCTTCGTACTGCAGTGGGCTCTGCTTTATCCTCATCCTGCTCTGCATAGGTATCGGCAGCTTTTGCCAAATTGTTTTCTGTAATAGGCAAAATGCAGTGCTTGAGAGCCTCAGGGGAATTGATTTCAGTAGCCTGGGGGAGGGAGGATTGCATCTATCAGCCCACTTCTGGAAATAATTGCATCTCTTAGCATTTGCTATCTTTCTGAACTGGAGAATATTTAAACTGTTTTCAGGGGAAGCAAGGACACTGACAGCTGGGGATCCTGTCTTGCTGGTTTTCCTGGACTGCTTGTATAAAAATGCTGCATCAGAAGTAAACTGATGCAAATAACATGTGACAGTCCTTCCAAGAAAGGGACACTGGGATTTAAGGAACCCAGTAGTTTGAGAATGCCTTGGACTTTGTTCACGTTTTGTTTGGGTGTTTTAGCTTTGTTGTTCCTTTTACTTCCTGAAGGTTTTGGAGAAACTGTGTTTGAAGGTGACAAACCTCAGCAGAACACTTTTGGAACGGAAGCAAAAATGGGAACACAGGATAGCATTCCTGAGAATGCTGTGGGCTCATTCTCAGTTCATTTACACATTTTGCTGAGTGTCTCTCCTTCATTAAAGGCTTCACTAGGGAAAGCTTAGCTGGGAGAAATCCCCATAGCAATTCTGACTCCACACAGGGAAACTCAGAGGCCTGGCATTAAGACACTTTTCAGCAATGACTGTGTCTCCAAGTACAAGAAATGCAGGCTTTTCCAGCTAGGGTTTCATCTCTGTGCATCTCTTTGCAGAACGCACGTGGCAGCTGGTCACAGCTCAGTGTGAGTGGTCTTTGCTGTCTGAATATTCAGATGAAGCACTGCTGGGTGCACTGGCAGGCACTGCTGGCAGATGCAAAGCTGGTGGGTCACTCACCAGATCTGATGTGTCAGCTCAGGGCCACCTCTACCTACAGGGTGCCAGCTCAGCATTCTGCTTTACCATCAGTTCGAGACTTCCTGCAGCTCTCCGGGCAGCACGTGGACCCCTGAGAATGCTGCAAACTGATATTATTTCCACTTAAAAATGTTTCCCTGATGACATTCATAACAAGGGGGGACAGCCTCTTGTGTCGTCTTCACAGTTCGACTTGAAACCAACACCAGTGCAGCACTTATGTTGTGTCTACGAGGCCTGGCCAGCAAAGTAAAGGTTGTGCTTAAAATCAGCACAGGATTGAAAAGGCAAGTTGTGTGGAGTCAGGCAGGATGGAGTGCAGGCAAGCTGGGCAAACTCTGCTAATGAGAACCTCCTCCTTCCTCTTTCTCCTGCACACAGAATGCATCCAAGCCGTCACAGTCTGTGGTGGAGTGCCAGCATGTGGTTTGTGGCTGCATGCTTGGGATTCATTTTTGAGCTGCAGGCAGATGTGTTTGAGCATCTGGGAAGGAGAGTTCTCTTAAAAAAAATCCTTGTGTTCAGTGTGTTTGTCTTTATGGGAGAGCTGAGAGAGATGCTGAAGTTCCCTCTGGTAACTCATGACTGTGTTTGCAGGGTTGCAGTGGAGGTGGTGACCACGATGACTTCAGCTGACGTGATGTGGCAGGATGGCACTGTGGAGACCAACATTCGTTCCAATGAGCTGATTCCAGTCCATCATCTGGACAACAACGAATTCTGCCCTGGGGATTTTGTGGTGGACAAAAGAGGTACCGAGTGTCACAGACATGCTCTCCTTGGGGAGTGAACGTGCTTTTAATGGCAAAGTGTTCTTCCTTCTGGATCCCCTAGTGTGTGTTGCAGCCCATGCTGCAGTAGCTGTTAGAAATGGTCAGGTGAAGTTAACATGAGAGCCTTACCAGGAACAGGCAGCGATTCAGGTGACACGTGTCAGCACACAGCCATCGTTTAAATACCAAGGTTGAACTGTGACAGGCAAGTTTTGAAAGGAATAAATACGAGGAACAAAGCCAGGATGCTCAGTGTTCTGTAGAGGTTGCCTGCCTTCTCTTTGGAAGTGCGGATGGCTCTGAGGTGTGTCCCAAAACCAGGGGAGGAACAACTCGTGCTGTGCTGCTTTCCTTGAAGGACCTCCTGTCAGGACCCTGAGTTTTTCCAGAAAGGAGTCTGGATACCACTGTGCTGGATAAAAGGGCTCCCAGTGTGCTCACACTGTCCAGTGCACCATCATCTTGTTTCACCATCAATTCAAACCCTATTAAAATGCAGCTCCTTACCTGAGGACAGTTTTGACTGTTTAGGAAGAGCTGTTTTTCCTAATGCCATTCACAGGTGGAAGGTTTCAGCTGAGAGCTGGGGCATTGGCAGCCTCGGCTGTGTGCAGAATCTGTGCTCTTCCACTGAACTTGCCTGTTTTGTTTTTTTCTCCTATCACTGTGACCAAAAGCTCAGAGCTCCCAGGACCCTGGTGTGTATGGAGTCGTGCAGTCTGGTGACCACATCGGCCGAACCTGTGTGGTGAAGTGGTTCAAGCTGAAATCCAGTGGAGATGATGTGGAGGTAAGTGCAAGAGCCACACAACAGTGAGGTTCCTGTAGATAAACCTTGGCAGTCAGATCTGCAGTGGAGCTGGTCCTTGGGGCTGGGAGCAGTGGTGTACTTTTGGGCCTGGAAGTAATCACGTACAGTTGGTTTCACATGCAGTTGAGTTCAGTGTCAGAGTTGTTCCCCATGGTGTCTTCACTAGTTGGTGGAAAGAGAGGATCCATAGCTTGTTATCCTGCTCTGTGGGGGTTTGTAGAAATACTGTATTTCACAGATTCTTGGTGGGCTAGGAACAAAACATCAGGCTTGTCTGGGGAAGTGTTCCACTTTGCTGCTCATTTCTCATTACTTGGGAGCTCCTAGAACTTCTCCAATAAATAAAAGGAAAGATATTTTCCTTTGCTCATCAGTTGATGAACTTTTTATCAAACACTTCTTGTTGCCTCAGATCGTTTCTAAAGTAAATGCTCTTCTTTGGGCCCCACTGAACTGCCTTGAGAAATCTGGATGTTCAGAAGGGAATGAAACAACCTTGTGATTGCAATGACGTGGAACCTGAGGTGAAGGTGAGGGTGAGCAGGGAAGAGCAATGCTACCCATCTCCTTTCATTATAGTTGTTTGATTGATGTGCTGCAGGGTGAGATGACAGAAGGGACGCGAGCAGTTCCTTCCTGCAGTCTGTTAAGGCAACAGAAAAGTGACAGGATGGAGCACAGAGTAGCTCAGGTGTTGGAGGTGCGCTGGGAAGATGAGCACAGCATCCAGGGCTGACATGTCTGCCTTCTGTCTCCAATGCAGCTGATTGGGGAGGAGGAAGATGTGAGTGTTTATGACATTGCTGACCACCCAGACTTTCGCTTCCGCACCACTGACATCGTGATCCGCATCGGCAATTCGGACGGAGCCACGGCTAATGAGGATGAGGTGGGTTCTGAGTGCAGTTATGTGACTGTGGCATCACCTGCCCTTAGTGTTGGGGAGCGTGGAAGGAGTCCATGGGAGACCATGGTCTGGGGCCTTAGGCTCTGTGTGGGCATCCTTCACTCTCTAGCTTGCTGGGTTTGTTTTATTGTATCCCCTGCTGTCGTGAGAAACATCGGATCTGCAGGGCTGGTGGAAATTCTGTGCTGAAATGATTGGGTTGATGGAGACTGTAGCAGAACAACAGCAGAGTTGAGACGAGGCTTAAGGGTTGCTTAGGATTTGAGTAACCTCTAACATGAGAACGTTCTGTGGATTCCTGTGCAAGAGTGAAGGTGAGTTTGTTGTGTAACCAGTTTCAATCGACCACATAAGAGTGGGGTTCTTGTTTTTGGATTACTATACACGCGTTAATTTTTATCATTGAGTTGATGGGAGAGGGCTCAATTTTTGTAGAGAACATGGAGTTTGCTGGGAAGCAGGTTTCCTTATTTTGCCTGGAAGCCCTCCAGCCTTTGAGACAGCTGCCCTAAAAAGGGATAGCTGGTGTAGGATGGCTCTTGCTGCAGTTCTAGTTTCAGCAGCACGGAACACATCCACGCTTGCTCGGCTGACCCAGATAACCTCCTTCCAGTGCCACTTAATGAGCATACTCTGGGCCAGCTGTAGCATGTCTGTATGTGTCTGTGCACTCTGGGAAAGCTGCTGCCAGCCTTCCGGGGGGGCCAAGCACAGGGCCCGGCTCCTGGCACCCCACTAGAGGGCAGCCTGCTCCAGGGGACTGTGGTGTCCCCTTTCTGGCAGATACCCCAGTGGTGCTGCCCTCAGAAAGGCCGCAGCCCCAGGACTGCTGTTACTTCTGCTCAGCTGGCTCTCCACCCAAAGCAAGCATTGCTTTGGGAAGGTCCAGGCTTGCAGGTCATCAGCCTGGGGGGATTCTGCACTGAAGTGCCTGGGAAGGAGATGAAACTGACAAACTGCCCTTGTTTCCACAGCCTTCTGTCGGGCAGGTGGCTCGTGTGGATGTCAGCAGTAAAGTGGAGGTGGTGTGGGCTGATAACTCCAAGACCATCATCCTGCCTCAGGTGAGCTGCTCTTCCCAGCTCCGCAAGTTGTGGTGTCAAATGTAGGCTGCAAAGAAAGTCGTCCATGAGGGAATCCTGCTCAATTTATTATTACCTTCCCATGACAGTGGGGCTTCCCACTTCTGGTAGCACACAAAAATCCTCTTTTTTTTCCTTTTAGGATGACTGATCAGTTAATTAGTCAGCACAGCTTTTGAATATAGAGAATATTATGCTGCCAGGGAGTTGTAAACAGACTTCTGGTCCTTTTACACACACACTGCTGCCTGTTCATGTCTCTGACCACAGCCTGCAGCACCTGCTGCTTTGCAGAGTGGGCTGCAGAGCTCAGCGGTCATCAGCTTTAACTTGAGCCCAGATTCACTGTGTTGCACAACTAAGCACAGCTGAAAAACTATTGCTGCTTCTGTCTGGCTTGTGAAACAGTGCTGTAGTGTTTTGTCTTAAGAACTCCCCCAGAAGCTGGATGAGAGCCACAAATTGTGACCTTACCTACATAAGGGTCAGACCCAAATGTCTTCCTGAGGCAGGGAGGGAAAGGAGTTGAATGCAGACTTTAAAAATGTGGAGCCATGTTGCGATCCGTGCAACCCCATTCATTTGTCCTCTGCATTGTTCTATTTTAAGGCTTATATTGTATGGTCTTGTAATCATGTTCACTATTCCGCATAGTTTCATCCCATGTCTCTTCTCCTTGTTGCTTCAAATTAACCCAGGCAGCCTGAAGAGGAGAGCAGATTTGCTTCTGTAGGGTCCCATCTCCTGCAGCATGACAGTGAACAGCATTGCTTCTGCAAGGAGAAAGTACTTGATCAAGATTCCATTTTAAACCAAGCATCTCTGCATTAATTACAGTAGAATAGTCAATGCCTGCACTATGGCAGTGGACTAGAGCGTTACAAAGCAGGCTGCTGTCTCCCTTCCCCCTGTTGTCACATGTGCTTGGATGCCAGGCACAATCAGAGGTCTGCTGTGTGCTCCACAAAGGGCTGCTCTCATACTGCAGTGCTGGGACTCCAGCAGCTCCTGCTGTGTCACACCAGTTCCTTCCATTCTGCTTGTCTGCGTAATTATGGGAGCTGGGGGAATGTCAGGAGTGAATTATCAGTTAGTAAAACTGTGATTTATCAATGCCTGCCCCCATGCCAGAGACGAGCTGTCTGAGTGCTTTTTCTCAGCTCTAAAAATAAAGATGGCATAACTGGCTAACGTTCCATCTCAAATTTGGATGAGCTGTAAGGGCGGTGTGTTTTGATGGCTTTTCCTGCCTGCAGTCACTTGTGTGAAACCCAACCAACCCCCACTGGCTGCCTGTCTCTGGATGGCACAGAACTGGCTGAGCAGGGCTGGTTCAGCTCGAGGCTTTGACAAGAGAACTGAGTGTCCATGTGCTTCAGCCTCTGGAATCATGTCTTACAAGATTGAGAGGACTCTTGGGCCGTCATTCAAGCGTCAGAAGCAAAGTTGTTCTGGGTCTTCTGCTTCTCTGATGGCGTCGAGTGCATCTCTGAGCCTCTGCAGAGAACCTCACGAGAGATGTGGTGTGTGCAGAAGCCTGATTAGAGGAGATGAGGGTAGATGGAGCGTGGATGGGTTCTGCTTTCGGTACTGAAGGGGAAGAGAACATTTTATGTAAGAGCTTATTCAGCAGCTTGAGTTAGACTTTATTGTCCCAGCTGAATTTTAAGCAGTAGTCACATACAGCAGCTAAAGCAGCATAGCAGAGCTCTGACAGCAAGCAGTGTGTGCCACAGAGGAAGAAATCTGGTGTGTGAGTTTTTTTGCTGGTTCCAGCATTGTCTGTGTGGAAGGACAGAGTGTGGAGGCAGCCAAAGCAGCATTCTGTGCCAGCACAGCTAGAAATACAAACTCCACTCATAAAACCCAGCACCTTCTGAGTTAGCCCTGTGTTCAGAGCCCCTGGGGCACTTGGGTAGCTGGGTGGCACTAACATGCACTTGTTGGTGGCTCTGTCCCAGCCACTGGGAAGGTTGCAGCCCACCTAGACCAGAGCCCTGCTTTGGCAGGTGGAGGATGGGGCTCTGCTGGTTCGCTGTGTGGGTCATCGTTAGGATGTTGTTTGGATCGTACCTCACCCACCCTGAATAGATGGAAGGGGGTTGGAACAGCCTCACAAACTTCTGCTGGCAGCTCCCGTTTCATGGGCAGAACCGACTCGTCTGCATTTAATAACAGTTAAAGCTCTGCACTTCAGCCTTAAATACTCTGTGCCTTTTCTAACTGTTCTCCTTTAGCACTTATACAACATTGAGTCGGAAATTGAGGAGTCAGACTATGATTCTGTTGATGGCAGCACCAGCGGGGCGTCCTCTGAGTGGGAGGATGAAAGCGACAGCTGGGAGACGGACAACGGCCTCATGGAGGACGACCACCCAAGAATTGAGGAGTTAGAGCCCGAGGAGCCAGCAGCAGAGGAGGTAAAAAAAGTAGAGGAACAAGTCCAGGGAGCTGTGGCTATGGCAGTTGCAGATCTTGCTGCAGAGAAAGCTGGCAAGGATGGAGCCCCGAAGAGCTTCAGGGAGCTGAAGGAAGCCATCAAGATCTTGGAAAGCCTGAAAAATATGACTGTGGAGCAGCTGCTGACTGGCTCTCCCACCTCCCCGACTGTGGAGCTGGAAAAACCCACTCGGGAGAAGAAATTCTTGGACGATATTAAAAAGCTGCAGGAAAATCTCAAGAAAACCTTGGATAACGTGGCTATTGCAGAGGAGGAAAAGATGGAAGCCATGGTGGAGACGGAGAAGAAAGAAGAAAAAGCAGAGGCACAGACACCAGTGAGGTCAGAGTGGCCCAGCGAGACACCAGTGCTGTGCCAGCAGAGTGGGGGCAAACCTGGAGTCACCTTCACCAGTGCCAAGGGAGAGGTGTTCTCTGTGCTGGAGTATGCTCCAGGTGAGTGCACCAGGGCAGGCTGCTGGGAAGGCTCTGTGCTGCCATGTTTCTTTTGCTCCGAGATATTTGCATCTAGGCCTCTGGGGTTGGGTATCCTCCGTTGTCTCATAGCTGATTAAGTGGGGAGGAGAAATTAAGAGGACTTTGGTAGAGCAGTTCATTCTGGGAGCTAAACTTGGCTTCCAGGTTGCATCTCTAGGCACTGAACCACTTCTCAAGCCATAAAATGGACTTGCCTTTCTTCCACATTGGAAATGAGCTTTGGAGGGCTGCGTGGATCAGTTTGAAGTGACGGGGTTTGTTCAGGCTGTTTTTTTGTAGGGGTGGATTGGTTGAGGAGCAGAACAGGAACAGCTGGTGCTCTTGTGCTGGGTGTCCTTGGTTGGATGAGCGTCCTTGTTAACATTCATCTGCCAAAAATAAAGAAAGAGCATCTGGTTGTGTGGAACACAGGTGACAGCAGAGCCCGAGGTGCTCGGCAAGCCCACCAGCTAAGCCAGAGCTGGGGAGGAGAGGTGGCCAAGCTGTTCAGAACCTGCAGGTGCATGCAAATAAAAGCAAGGAGCTGCACTCAGATTTCTGCAGGCAGGGGGTCATCCCAGCAGAGTGACAGGGCCCTCTGCAAGACCAAGAGAACAGGAGATACAGGTTGTGGCTGCTGTACCATGTGGGAAAAAGCAAATAATCTCTGGGGCTGCCTCCTGGCTCAGCACCAAAGTAAGCTGAATTGCCCTGGGCTGATGTGTAAGCTGGGATATATTGAAAAGCTCTAGGGCTTCCTGTCTTCACTGCAGGGGTTGGGGTTCTTCAGGAAGATATTTGGGTACTTCCTCCTGCTGATGTCCCCTATCTCTTTTTGTCCAAATGATACATCTAATGCATGGGTGGATCTGCCTTTGTAAGGAGCTGGTGGCAGGCTTTAATTCTGCTCTCTCCCTTGACTCACAGATAGTCATGCCTTCAAGAAAATGGAGTTCCAGCCCCCGGAAGCAAAGAAGTTCTTTAGCACTGTGAGGAAGGAGATGGCTCTGCTGGCCACCTCCCTGCCAGATGGCATCATGGTTAAAACCTTTGAGGATCGAATGGCAAGTGTTTGCTCTCCAATTTATGTGTGTTAGAACTGGGCTCAAAGTCCAGCTGGCTTGGAACTCCCTGCTTAACCTCAATCCCCTACATTAGAACCACAGGAATGTGAGCAGCGTGTGAAATTGTAATTACTCTGAATGGTTGCTTTTGCATTCCCTTGGTGGGGGTGGCAAACACCACAGAGTCTCATGGCAGGAAATCCATGTTGGGTTCTTTGCCCACTGAGCAGGACAGGCAGGTGGGCAGGCAGCAGAGGATGTGTGAGCAGAGGGCACAGCAGGGCCGTAGCAGAAGCACAGCTTCTAGGGGGAAGGTGCCCTGACATGTGTGAACTGCAGGTCTGTAGCAAGGGCTGAAGGGGGTAAGAGGGACGAATGGGCTGTGATCACACAGCTGTGCCCGGTGGCTTATATCACCTTCCTCCACAGGACCTCTTCTCAGCACTTATAAAAGGCCCCACACGCACGCCCTATGAAGATGGCCTCTTCCTCTTTGACATCCAGCTCCCCAACATCTACCCTGCTGTGCCACCTCTCTTTCGCTACCTCTCCCAGTGCAGCGGGAGACTGAATCCCAACCTGTATGACAATGGCAAAGTGTGTGTCAGCCTCCTGGGGACGTGGATAGGCAAGGTAATGCTTCCTTCTGCCCAACCACAGGTCGCAGTGGTTGTGCCAGGCCACTGCTGGAACAGAACGCTTCCATCCAGGCCAGGAGTCCTGGGTGACGTCTGGTCTCTGGTGCTTAAACTTGGTGGCGGCTCAGGCTGTAGATATCTGGAGTGGAGGTGGATCAATAGGACAGCTATGCTGGGACTGGGACTGATGTGGTGTGCAGTTCTGCACCATTCTGGGCAGGCAGCATGGCCAGGCAGCATGCTGGGCTGACAAAAAGTGAGGAAGATGACTCGGTGTTGCAGGGGCACCAGTGCATCACGTGCTTGTTGAGTCAGTCCCTTGTTCCTGCTGCAAACCACAGGATCTTAGTGGTGGGGGTCTTGCTTCATCCAGTGGTTCTCTCTGAGCAAACCAGTGGTGTTTCTGCCCTTTGATGCATTTGTTATGTGTATTTCAGGGGACGGAAAGGTGGACCAGTAAATCCAGCCTCCTCCAAGTACTCATCTCCATCCAAGGTAAATGCTCCTGCAGAACCTGTGGGACAGGAAAAAGCAGGGGGGAATGCAAGCTTATGTCTGGCAGGGGGTTGATACGTGCCGTGCCAATTGGGCTGCTGCTGCTTTTTGCTCTCACCTCGCTGGACAAAGCAGTGTCCTTATCTCTGCAGTTCAGCATTCCGAGCAGGTACAAGCTTTTCTCATGCCTTGATTTTTTGGCTGTGTCCCAAGTCTCTGAGACAATGCTTTCCCTTCTTCCTGCAGCCACAGGGCTGTTCTGCTTGTTATTCTGAGCTGACAAAGGTGGACCATTTTGTTCTCAGCCAGTTACCAAAGTTGCTGCTAAACTGGACTTAATTTGCAGGACTGTTTTTATCCCCACTGAGTCATTTACTTGGGGCACATTTTTGCTGGTGATGTTGGTGTTTACACTCCTAAAGCAGAATAATCAGGGGTGTGTCTAGACCGGCCCCAGGGCTTCCTGTTGTAGAGCTTTGCCCTATAATATCCAGTTTGGAGGCAGACAGTCTAAATCAATTCTCCACCTTACGGCCAACTTTCTATGCAGGGAGCCCAGGAATGTGACTTGAGAAATCTCTGACACAGAACAAAGGCTGCTGCCTGGAGCACACGGGACTCTTGCTCCTGCACAGCCTCCCAGCTGCCCGTGCCTCCTGCTGGGGGGCCACCACAAAAGCCTTTTCTCATTTACAGAGCTGAGCATCCAAATTTGGAAGCTGAACTACTGAATGTTTTACTGGAGCAACGTGGTGATAGTGGAAAATCTCCCACCCTCCCTCCTGCTGCCTGGTCTTGGAGAGACTCATGTTGTCACCTCCACCAGCTCTAATGCAGCTTGTGACAGGCTGCCAGCAGCATGGCAATATCAGTGTCGTTTCTACCTACACAGCATTGCAATCTGGCAGAGGCAGGCAGAGAAAGCTCCGTGTGGGTGGCTTGTCACTTTGTTCCTTGTCTCTGTGCTGCCCTGGTGGGACGATACTGGGCAGGATGGTCAGGTCAAAGTATGGCTTCCTTTCTTAGTAAGAGGTGGAGTGGGGAAAAAATGCATTTAAGAACATTTTTAAGAAAACGTATGGGCTACGTTTGCGTTCTTTTTTTGCTAGGAATAGAGGGAAAGTTGTTGTTGAAATGTTTTTCCTTCCACCCTTTTGACCTCCTCTGCTGCTGTGTGCCCTCTGCGTCACACCAGTGGAAGCTGTCTCCTCAATGCTGTTCTCGGTGCTGTCTGGGATCCTCAGTGTGTGAACAGAAGGCTGCAGAGCCATTCACATGAAGATGATTGGGGGCTGCAGCACCTCTCCTACAAAGACAGGCTGAGGGAGCTTGTTCAGCCTGGAGAACAGAAGGCTGCAGGGTGACCTCATTGCAGCCATCAGTACCTAAAGGGAGCCTAAAACAGGAGGGGAGTCAACTCTTTGGAAGGGTAGATAACTGCAGGACAAGGGGAAATGGTTTGAAGTTGAGGGAGGGAAGATTGAGGTTGGATGTCAGGGGGAAGTTCTTTGCTATGAGAGTGGTGAGGTGCTGGAACAGCTGCCCAGAGAGGCTGTGGATGCCCCGTCCATCCCTGGAGGTGTTTGAGGCCAGGTTGGATGGGGCCCTGGGCTGCTATGAAATGGGGAGGTTGGTGGCTCTGCCTGTGGTGGGGGGTTGGAGCTTCATCATCCTTGAGGTCCCTTCCAGCCTGGGCCGTTCTGTGATTGCAGTGCGTTTTGCAGAATCCTGTTTGTCCAGCCTGCCTTCAAAAGCAGGTGGCAGGAACCAAAGCACAGCTTCCCTCGTGAGTTCTCCTTCGGCCCTTCCTGCTGCTGGATTTGCCTCTCAGCGATGCGCTGTGGGCGCCCATCAGCAGAGCCGGCCCTCCTTTAACCCGCTGCCCTCCGTTTCCTTCGCCAGGTCTCATCCTAGTGAACGAGCCCTATTACAACGAGGCAGGCTTTGACAGCGACCGGGGCCTTCAGGAGGGCTACGAGAACAGCCGCTGCTACAACGAGATGACTCTGATCCGGGTGGTGCAGTCCATGATGCAGCTGCTGCGCAGACCCGTGGAGGTTTTCGAGCACGAAATCCGCGAGCATTTCCGCTGCAACGGCTGGCGCCTGGTGTCCCGCATCGAATCCTGGCTGGAGACCAACGAGCTGGTGGAAAAGAGCCACGAGCAGAGCAACGGGGCGGATTCTGCCTCCCTGCTGTCTGCGGGCAGCGCCCTGGCCGAGAGTCCCGGAGACACCGTGGGGGAGCGCGGCGGTGCTGAGCTGGGAGCGGCGGCTGAATTCTCCGACTCGGCGCCGGATGGGAAGGAGGAGCTGGACGAGGCGGAATTCGCGACCTCGGCGCCTGGCGATGTCCACCAGTACTCAGACTCGGAGAGCGCGGGCCGAGCCAGGGGGGTGGACCTGGCCAGAGACCGAACGGACGAGGGGAAGGCTGCCCAGGACTCTGCCTCGCAGCCGAGCGTCAAACCAAAGAAAAGGAGAAAGAGCTACAGGAGTTTCCTTCCGGAGAAGAGCGGTTACCCCGATATTGGGTTCCCCCTCTTCCCTTTGTCCAAGGGGTTCATTAAAAGCATCCGTGGTGTCTTGCAGCAGTACCGGGCTGCCTTAGCAGGGGCCAATATCCCAGAGTGGACAGAGGAGAAATAGACCGTCGGGTTAGGGACAGGCAGGTGCAGAGGAGAAGGGAAAGCAGCAGAAAGGAAATTGGCAAATGCTGTTACCAGTAAACTGGCTTCTCCTTCCAGCTTTTCTTCCTCAGCTTGGTTTGTTCCAAAGAAGGTGGTAGGCCTGATTTGCTCCTCCGAGGAAAGGTTGTCTACGCATGAATTTGCCCCCAGCCCTCCTTCCTTCCCCCTGCCCCACACATGTGCTCCTCTTGCGAGTTTGACCCTGCAGTGGTAAGATCGGAGACCCGCACAGAAGCATCTTGCAGCCACGTTCCCTCTGCACTTTCATCTTGGGGCACCTTTCCACGCAGACTTTTCCCACCCAGCGGATTCTGCTGCTGGGGTTCGAGCCAGAAGTGATTGCTGTAGGATCTGGAAGCGAAGGGCGCTGCCCTCTTTCATTTTTCTCCGCATTACCGTGGGTTTTCTGAAGTCTACCCAAGCTCAGACGTTGGATTGTTTGCATTGAAGTTGTCTGCACCGTACGGAGTTGCTCTAGTCGTAGTCGTTCACCGATAGCTATGAGGTTCTTCTGATCAGAACTGAATGGGCAGAACCAGAACTCTGTGCTGCCCTGGTAGTGCCGTGGGGTTTCCATCTGCTCCTGCGACTTCTGCTCTTTTCTTCTGGAATCAGCTCCACCATCCACAGCCTATTCTCCGAGTAAGGCGGACTTCCCTCTCCCCACCATGCATGCCTGTCCTCTAGAAGTACACGAGATGCAGGGTTCTGCCTCTTTACTTGCTCAGCTGTCTGAATCTTCCCTTCGGTCCTCCCTGGCAGCACTGGGTGCACCTCAGCTCTCAGCCTTGCCTGGCTGGGGGGGGAGCACGGCACACCTGCTGCCTCTCCATCACCTGCTGCTGCTGGGTCTGGGGGGCTTTCTGAGCCAGGGCCGCCCGTAGGACAGGAGCTCATGCAGTGTGGCCGACTCCTGTGGGAGCAGCACTTTGTGGTGGTTCCTCAACCAGTAACTGGAGCACATCACACACTGGCACGGGCTGCTGCTCTTTCCCCCCCCGGCCAACTGTTTCCTGCGACTGCCCAAACCTGCTGTGGCTGGTAGGGTTGTGGGCACAGCACATCCTATCTGTGTGCTGCTACACTGCTGCTGGGCCTCTGGGAAACAGCTGGCAGGGCAGCAGAGCACTGATGGAGCTGGTGACCTTCAGCACTTTGCAGCAGTGACCTGCAGGAGCAGCAGCCTCCTGGCTGGGTACCTTGCTGGAGCCTTTGTGTGCACGCACTTAATGTTCACTTCTGGAGCTGGGGAGCTCAACACTGCTGCACCCACAGGAGCAGTCAGGCTGTGGGGAGCTGGGGGAGTTCAGCAGTAAGGATGGAGGCAGATCCCCTCTGTCAGTGTGGCTGCGTTCCCTCCATCCCAGCCTGGACGCGGCCTTCTGACACCCAGCCCAGCAGTTTGCTCTCAGCATCTCCCTGCTGTGCTTCCGACCCGCACTGTGGCTGTCCTTCACCCCCTCCACACGGCTGGGAAGGAGCCGGCACCCAGTGCTTTTGGTCAGAGGGAGAAAAACCCTCCATGGCCACAGCTTGACTGCTGGCCCAGCTCTGTGTCCCTTTGCTCTCACCAGAACACGATGCTGCCATGGGGGGCAGCGTGAGCTGCTCAGAGAGGCCTGTGCCAGGTTTTCCCCATCGCTTTCTCTTCCACTGATGATCAGCAAAGAGCGTTGGCCCAGGGCCCCCCCGGGAGCAGGCATTGCCCTGCAGGGGGGCTCAGCCCCCACCACAGCACGGAGGTTTACAGATTTTCTAAGCTTTTGATAATGTGAAGCTCCCTGGTGACCAGGTTGGTGGTGAGCACACTGCAGCTATGTCATTTTTTTTTTTCGTGTATGTATGTAATATTTAAGGGTAACAAAAAAGGCTTAAAACCTTAAAAAAAATAAATAATAATAATGATAATAATTAAAAAGACACAAAAAAAGAAAAAAAAAAAAAAAGCCAAAGCATGATGATGCATATTGTTAGCCTTAAAACTGGCTACACGACTGTGTGATGTACAAATCCGAGCAGCCTGTAACTGTTTTAAGTGCTGGGGTTGGGGGAGAAGCATTACAAAATCAGTTTGTAGCCTTTGAATTCTGTACAGTATTTAAATGAAGAAAACAAAACCAAACCAGACCCGACCATTGAGGCCATGCTTAGAGGTGTGTCGTTCACGTGCAGATGTGGATGCTTGGTTGCTTACCGATATATGTATAAAGTGCTGTGTGACCATTAAAACTTTTTTTACCTGCAGAATTATTTTTTTGTTGGTGGTGGTTTGGCTAACCGAGGTGTAATAAAGGAGGGAAGATGACTTGCCATTAAATTCCGCCTCTGTGAGTAGTTTGGGCTGTCGGTCTCTTTTCTTTTCCCCCCTGTTCAGCCCCTGCCTGCAGGCTGTGCTGGGACCCCCGGCTCTTTGGGGAGAACAGCCGCGCTCTTCTCTCCATTCCCACCATCCTAATTGCATGCTTTGTAGATGAATAAATGTGTGGTTTGCCCTCCTTTGTGCTGAGAGCAGCAAACGAGCTGTAATTACCGCAAGAAGGCTGTGATCCGCCCCAGCCCAGCTCCTGGGAAGGGCCCCTCGCTGGGCTGTGGGGGGAGATGCGGGCTCCCCGTGGCTGCGTTCAGCCTCACCTCCCCCCCTGCAGGCACCGAACGCCCAGGCTGCGTCCTTGGGTTGGGTTTGGGTTGGTTTTTTTTGCAAACGCTAAATATTTATTGCATTTCTCACAAGAATAAACTCTGCTTCTACGGGAAGCTTTGGGTAGAAACACTCTTTAAAAAAAAAAAAAACAAAAAAAAAAAACCAACAAACCAACAAATGATTGATGTCTCCCGGTAGATCGTTGGTCCTGGCTCAGCCCGGCGGGGACACGGGCGGTGCCACCGAACCTGGGGCCGAGGCTGTGCCGGCGCAGCCGCCCAGGACCGGGACGTCGTACCGATGGCACCGGGACGGAGCCGGCACTCGAGTACCTGCCGCGGCTCGTGGCTCGTTCCTGGGACGGCGCCGTCCCCAGGAGGGTAAAGCTAAGCAAAAGGCCGAGTGCCCGCGGGCAAGGGGAGCTATTGCTGGAAGAGGAGGTTCCTGAGTGCGAGGAGGGCTGCGCGCCCGCTGCCGGCCCTAGGAACCGGTGACCACGCGGCACGGGTGGCCGTGGATCTGCCCCTGCACCGGCTCGCACGCCAGCGCCTCCCCGTCCACCGTCATGATGCCGGCGCTGCCCCGCGGCTCCAGGCGGAAGGCGCGCACCGGGACGCAGTGCAGGTGCGGGCAGTTCAGCTCCAGATGCGTGCCTCTGCCCATGGCCAGGAAGATCTTCAGCAGCGCTACGCGGCTGATGCCGGCCCTCACGTAGAAGAGATGCATGCAGCCGTCGTGCAGCCGCGCCGCCGGAGCCATCAGCAGGTTGGTGCCCAGGTGGGACTGGTAGATGGCGTAGACGCAGACGAATTCCTCCTCGGGCACCACGACCCAATGCGGCGGCACCGGCTGCCCCAGCGGCGCCAGCAGCGCGTCGGCGAGCGGCTCCCTGTCCCCGCCCAGCGCCTCCGTCCCCGCCGTCGGTGCGGGCCGGCGCGGCTCGGGGTCCCTGGCGCTGCCCGGCTCGGTGGCTGCAGGCAGGTAGGAGAGGCGGCCCTGGTAGACGCGCAGGCGAACCAAGCACTGCAGCGTGCCCAGCGTGAAGCGTGCGTTGCCCAGCCGCCGGTACTTCTCGCTGTCAATGTCCACGTCGGCGATGAAACCCCATCCGAAGCCCAGGAAGGAGAAGAAGCGTTTGCCTGAGGCTGTGCTCAACGAGACCAGGTCCATCGGAGCGTGCAGCCCCTTGCACAGGATGAAGGTGCAGTTGGTCAGCAGTTTCTTCTTGGCCACGTGGTCATTGCTGCAGGGGGCAGAGAAGGGTGAGCATGGGCTGTGACCCCCCCCTAAGGACTCTGCCTTTGTGCCATGGCTGGGACACGTCCCAGCTGGTGACGGTGTCTGCTGGGGACAGCTTCTAGGAGAAGCACAAATCAGCTCCTAGAAGGGAACTGATGCACCAAGACTGATGGTTGGGTATGGTTCCCACTGAGGTCTTTTCCAACCCGGAGGATGCTATGGGACTGCTGGGCCAGCCCCAGTCCCACCCCAGGGGTATGTGACTGTGCAACAGGATCAGCCACGGTGCTCCATGGAGTGAAAATGTGGCACATTCAAGGCCTGGAGAGGAGAAAGCTCCAGCTCCCCCTGTACTCTACAGGGATGAAGCATGCTGGGCTGGTGTCCCCATCCCACCCCACTCACCCTGCATAGTAGTTGATGGAGGCAGCCAAGGCATTCCCAGAGCCCCCAGGCAGGATGCACAGCGGTGTTTGCAGGGCCTGCTCCCAGTCCGGCCGCTCCATCAGCCCATTCAGCACCTGCAGGAGGAAGGGGGGGGGGCAGCTGGTGGTACGTGGGGCTGCACAAAGACCCCAGTGACCCCACAGTGCCCTCAGCAGAGGTTGTGCCGCCCCAGTGTCTTCTAACAGGGTTCTGTCTCCGCATCTCCCCCTGTTTTGCCCCCAGCCCTGGCCATGGGGTGACAGCAGGCGCTCACCTCGTGGAGCAGACCATCCCCAGACATCACCACCAGCACATCCCACTGCGACAGGTCTTCATCCTGCACCTTCTCCTGGGCGTGGTGGGGTCTCTCTGCAGTGCAAGTGAGAACACAGAGTCATCCGCCCGCTGCCACCCTGCATGGTGACCGCAGCCCCATAGGAGCCCATCCCAGGTGGGTGCTGGGCAGGAGGAGGGTCCTCAAGGACTCACCAGTGACAAAGACGGTGGGTGTGATGTCAGCATCAGCCAGCATGGGCTGCACCACTGCCTGGAAGTCTTCAAGCGCGCGGCCAGCGCCGCTCTGCGGGTTCAGCAGCACCAGAGCTCGGCAGGGCCGGGGCAGCACCCCATAGCTGGCACCTGGGGGGAGCAGGGGGTCAGCACGACGGGGCTGGTGGGCTTAGTGAGCAGCTGCTATGGTCCTAAGGGACACGGAGCGCTGATGGGGGTTAGAGGAGGTCTGCGCTGAGAGATCAGGGGGTCCCCTGCGCAATGAGCCAAGGGCAGGGGTTGAGGGCTTTGGGGGGGGGGGCGTCAAGCTATTGATTCCCCACATCCAGCCCTGCTGGAGCAGGGCCAGCACGGACACCTGTGCTGGCAGATGGATGCTTCGCTCCCCACGGGGCTCAGGTTTCGCACACGCAGGCCCCATCCGGGCTGTAATTACAGGGCTGGTGCGGGCTGTCATTGCTCCATTCCCTGCTGTCCCCACATCCCCAGCAGCAGTCAATCTGTGCCCTCCCTGAGCACTGTTGTGGCCCAATGGCACCCGGCAGCCCCCGCAGGCTCCGTGCGAGGACCAGAGGGACGCAGTGTGGGCACAGCACCGTGATGCTGTGGGTCTTGTCCTGCCGTTGTGCCACAGCTCCTTGGAGCCCAACGGACAACAAACACAGGTTCTGGGGGGCTCCGCAGGGCTGAGGTTTTGCCAACTGACGGCACGCAGCCGCGCTCCGTCAGCAGCAGTGAGTCACGAATGCTGACAGCGCTTCCCAGCACAGCCTGGGAAGCCCCTTGCTCCACTCGCCCGGAGCCGTGAGTGCAGAAACACGCGATGAACGCAGGGCAAAGGCCACCGGGGCTGCACACAACCTGAGAGCGCAGCACAGAGCCGTTCTCCTGTCCTGCAGCCTGGCTCCGGCGCTGGCCCTCACCCGATGTCCCCTGCCCTGCCCAGCTCCTTATCAGCCGGCAGCAGATGGGATGGGACAGACCGGCCACCCTCGGGGCGCTGCCCGCAGCGATGGCCGCAGCTCAGCACTGCACCGCTCCGGCCCCATTGGAGACGGCGAATCCCCTGTGGGTGAATGCAGCCCCACAGCCGGCTGACGGGGGCTTTCTCCCCTCTCCCCGCGGCAGACGGGGTGGATCTCCGCGTTGTCCCTTTCCCTTCCACGGCACCGGCACTTTGTGGGCTATGGGGGAGGTGGATGCAGCGTCAGCAAGAGGAAGGGGCACCGCTCTGCCCCCACCCCACGTGCCCCACACACGGCACACGAATTGCCACATCGTCCCACAAACCGCCGCAGTGCACGAGGAGCCGACGTGTAGGGACCAGCCTGCGGGTGACACCATCAGACCCCACCGACCCCATAGGGCAGGACGGGGCCGGCACCCCCCACGCAGTCGTCGCCGGGGGATCTTTCATCCCTGGGGGCCATCAGGAGGAGAAACGGGCTCCGTCCCCAAGGATGTCGCTGCGGTGCGGTGGGGCGGGGCGGCTGCCGCCCGCTGCAGGCACGGGGTGCCCCGATCGCCCCGCACTCCGGCGCCCTTATCTGCCCCGCACACAGCACGGCCAGCGCGGGGCGTGGCGAGAGGCGTCCGTAGCGCAGCTCTGAACCGGGGGAGGAGGTTCGTAAATCCCCGGTGAGCGGAGAGCTGCAAATCTCGCACAGCTGCGTCCCTCGGCAGCGCTCCGCACCGCCCCGCCGCGCCGCAGCCCCACCGCGCAGCAGCGCCGGAGCCCGCCGGCCGTCCGCTCCCACATCGGGCCTCGGCTTTTTCGCTTGTTCTTATTTACAGAGAGCGGCAGCGAGCTGTTTTCTAGCTGCGGCTCACGCGAAAAGGCTGCATTTTAGAACGCGGGCAGGAGAGCGATGTGACAGCATCCCTCCCACCCACCGGAGCGGTGGCTCCGCTGAGCAAGGCGAGGCGGCCGCGGTAACTGCGCTGCAGAGGGATTCAATCTCTGCTCCAACGCGGCCGGAGGACACCGGGGGACGTCCTGCATCCTCTGCCCCTTCGCGGGGCTCCGGGCTGGGGGGGGGGGACGACGGAGCTCTGTGCCCCCCCGGCGCTGCGCTCCGTGTGTCAGCGGCGGACTTTCCCCCCTACGGACGCCGCTTTTGTTAAAGCTTCGCTACTCATTAAACCGCTGGAAGGAGGCGGCGAGGACAGCGCAAAAAGGCCCCGCGCTGCGCGCCGCCCTTTTGCTTTAAGGGGGAAAGCGGGGACGGATGGAGGGACCTCACGGTGCGGCGCGCAGCGTCCCCCTCCCATAGGGCCGGCGGAGGGGGGGGGCACACGCGGGTTCCGTCCCACGCCCCCAACCCCTCTCCCCATCCCGACACCTCAGGGCTGCGCTCCCGCTCCCCAAATCCCCGCACACCCCGACACGGGAGGGCTCCGACCCCCACCCCCCCGCTGTCCGTGGGGGCACAAGGCGGTACGGCGGAGCCGCGCCGACCGGGAAACTTTTTCTCCCCGCATCGCCCCCCCCGAGCCCCCGGCCCCCGCCCCGAACCAC